GTATGGTAATTGCGTTGATAAACGACTCCGTCAAATGGCAACCGACAAAATCAACATAAATCACAACCAGAAGCCTTTTCTCTCACTTCCAGATCTCGCAATCACGTGACAAAATAAATAGAAACGAACGCGACGGCGCAGCCTAATCGCACAAGGTGTACACTGGTCATGCAAGCCTGCCGCGTGTACACAGGGTCCGAAAGTAAAAATAAATGCGAAGCATAAAGTTCAAAGGACAGACATGCAAATTCGCTGCTGGGCGTGCGGTCCCGTTCGTGGCGCTCCTCGCTGTATAAACGAGCGAACGGTGAGTCGGCGAGTCTCGATCGGGATTATTCGACGAGGAGAACACACGTTCGTGTCGCGTAATTCGGCGGCCATGACGTCGCTCGACGATGCATTTTTACATAACAACCCGGACGGACGTCGTCGCCAGCGAGACCGCGATCGAAATGGTTACAAAAGCTGTCCGCGGGAGTCGATCTGGCTCGCGGAATTCGCGCGAATCACGGCGAATGAATTCGAGGCCAGCAACAGGTTGTCCGAAACAACGAAATTCGCGCCCCGAGTTCCGCGCGATCCAAAAAACGATATCAAGCGGCAAAAGCTTGCTTCGCGGATTTATCGAACTCGGGGGCCGGAAATAAAATTCGGCCGCGATCGCGTTCGTTTCCATAGTTCGCGTAAACCTTGTTTGCTGCGAGCAAAAGTGTTAGCAGGATTTCGACGGAGTCTTCTTAATCCTCGTACATTTTTTAAAGTCGCAACAACTGCGTGGAAGATGCCAGGACAACAATTTGCAAAATTATGCTGCACGCTTGTAATCGACAAATTGTGTTAAAATTCCACGCTCCAAAGATTTCAGTCGATAAATTACTATGAAATGAGAATGAGAATTTCATCGGAATGAAATTGCTATAGCTGTTAAAAACATTTCCCACGAAATCATCAACCGCTGATCTTCGATTTCCAAGAGTCCATTGAGTCATGACTGATGGATAAACTCCCAATTAAACTCCTAAAAATGATTTTATTCAGCAAGACGTCGTACTTTCCAGTATAAAAATCAGCAAGTATTTCGTTTGAAATCCCAGATAAATGAATCGTAGTTCCAGTCACGATTCGAAACATTCTTCGAACCGATAACAAAAGAATTCGCGAGTGTCTCTGAAAATTCGTTCGGTGTTCATTAAATCTTCGTCGTTGGAGATAATTTGCTCGGCTTCCCGGTGGATTGTTCGGATGCAACGGCACGAAGATGTTGGCAGGACACGATCCAAGCACAACGGGGCTTTGAAAACCGGGAAATCGGGGTTGTTACTTGTCGAATCCGTCTTAGGATATCGCGTTACCGGTCCGCATGATATATGTGGTTTTACGGCTTCGCTTTGAACCGCAGAAGAAACCCGATAACCCTGCTTCTGGACGATGGTCGAGATACCGGGCACGAGGAAGGGGTGAAAAAGGGATGAAAAGGGGCCGAAAGGTCGAGGGTTGAGCTTCGAGCTAGTGGATTTGCGAACTCGACACCGGGCCGGGATATCGTGTGACGGTTGCCGAAGAATTTTGACTGCGCGAGGGTGACCGAGGGGGGAGGGGCTGGCAAGGGCTGAATCGCGATGGAAGTTTGTGAAGCAGCTTCTTCTTTCAAATGGGGATTAGGCTTGCTACCTAGAGAGCTCGGGGAAACGGGAGACTGTTGAAAAAAGATTCTTCCGAGACCAGGAGCTCAACACTAATTATTCATTCATGATTGTTTAGTTTGTAAACATATCTCCGGCGAGCACAAAGCACATTTGTAGCGCAATGTTCCGTCAGGTGTTAGACTTTTTGCGGTAAACTCGATCATATATGTTTTCAATTTGATTTACGAGATGCCGTGTTCGATTTAGAAACTTAAAAGAGAAAGGCTGATCAAATATAACCTCGACTTATTTGTCATTTTTTGTAAAAATAAAAGAAAATACATTTTGAAAGATAATAATTTCATTAATGTACTAAATATATCTCGCTTTATTCGTCGTTTTTGTAAAGATAAGAAAGAAATCATTTTACAGAATAATAATTTTATTAATATATTAAATGAATCTCGACCGATTGGTCATTTTTGTACAGATAAAAAACGTCTATTATTCAGAATAATCATTTCACTAATACACTGAATATATCTCGATTTACGTCTCATTTTTGTCAGAATATGAAATAAATCCATTGCACAAAATAATTTTATTAATACACTGAATATATCTCGATTCGTTTGTCATTTTTGTAAAAATGAAAACCGTCCATTTCACGGAACAATAATTACTATTTAATCTAACGAATGGTAACCTTCGATCAGGCAACCGAGACTGTAGTCTCCCGGTTTCGAAGTCCGTTCTTTTCCGGCCTGCGGTCGCTGCCAGCCAAGTGTCGATAAAATTACGAAAGCTCTAGAAACCCGAGCACGGTAAAGCCTTCTTACATTCATAAAACAATTTCAAACGTTCGATCTTAGTATGCCCCCATGGATTTATCGTTTATTCGACGGTCGTCCCCGATTCCCGAATTTCCGCGAATGCGACGGATCTCGGTGACGGCGACGCCGATCCGATGCGCCGAAATGCAACGGGCGCGCCGGTCGAATGCGCCGTCGAAGAAGGCGAGCGTGACTGACGTTTGTTATTAATTGCACGGAAATGATTCAACGTTGACGGAATGGCGCATCGCGGTCCGAGTAACAGAGACACGGGGATGCCATGTGAAATTTAAGCGGTCGTCGCATAGCACGACATACCGCTGTCATACCCGGTGGCCCGTTAGCGCTGCCTCCAACACGTGATTTCCGGTAATTAGGTCAACGCCTGTGCTCGCGCCATTGTGCGCAACGCTATTAGATACTCCAACGGCGCGGCTATAATTTCCTCGTAAGTCTTCCCTCGCCTCTTTCCGAACAACATCGTCTACACTGCGCGCATGGTCGTAAAATTTAACGACGATGTTCGATTCGGCCGGGCGGCGGTCCCGCACGCTTCAATATCGAGATTCTACCGAACTTTGTGGCAGCTTACGGATACCCGACTGGGAATTTCTATATGTAATATAAACTTATATGCGCAACCGTGAAAGCGGCAGGAAAACTAGTTCGATACAAGGAAAATATTAATCCTTTGCGATCGAAGTTATTTCGATTCTAAATCCGAGATTGTTTTTCCGATTTATTGGGCAGCGAAGCCAGTTACTGTGCGGTGACCAATTGCTGTGCCATCGACGTGTTTTCGGGGATAATTTACTATATATATTTATGGTATGAAACATATTCAATTTTTCTATTCTTTTATGTTGATTATATTTGTTTATACTTTGTAAAAATATTTTTATATACTTTATTTTATACTATTATTCTATTATTATTCTACGTGTAAGAAATTATTCTCCGAATACAACGATTCTTAAGTATACAAAAAAGGTACAGTAATGTCTCTCTAATTGTCGCTCAGATTGTCCAGAAAAATGGACAATTTGGGAAGAGTAGATACGATTGTTCGAGCCTTGTGGCTCGTTTTTCATGGTTCTCGATTGTCAACGACTATACAGACGAGTTGCGAGGCTCGAATAATCGTATCTCCTCCTCCCAAATTGTCCAATTTTGTAGACAATCCGAGCGTCAATTAGGGAGACATTACCGTGGAACGCTTCGGACACGTTGATCTTCCAAACGAAACAATTAGAATCACGGGAGCAAGTAGAACAACAGAGCCGAATATAAACAATTGGGCAACGTAAAAATGATTTTCGAACGCGGTATAATAATAATCGTAAACACATTGTCTCCGAGTCACCGATCGAGGACAAAGGATTGAAACGTAATTTACGAAGCTCGTCCCGATACGAGGTGGACAATGAAGAGCATTCTCTATAATTTGAAGAATGAGAACCAAGTTGAGGATCATCTCCATTGTCGCAATCATCGTTCGAGGTAGCATCACGAGGATGTCTGTACGTGTGTCTGTGTATGTGCGCGCGCGCGCGTGTGTATAGCCCTTTCTGGACGAGTGCACAAAACGTGTGTCATTTATAAAGTTTGCTCGGACGAATGCTTGTGTGCTGCCTTCGAGCAGGAATTACATATGTATGAAGAGGAATTACATTCACGTGCGCATGATTATATGAATGGATGAATAAATGAATAAATATGTCAACAGCCAGAGAACTGGGTCAGAACGACCCTGTACGTAATACGCGAGGGCTAAACTAACCGTCGCGAAATAAAAGACGACAGCGGCCGGGATACACAATGACCACGATTTAAGTCCAATCGTGATCTCCGAACCTTGAAATCGTTCTAACGTAATGGTTTCTTCATAACATCTCAGAGTCGATATCTAGTCCGGCTACATCCAGCTGCCACTGCTATCGGGCGAAATTGAACGCTACGCTTTGATCTGAAACGTCGGAATGCGATCGCAAACGAACGGTGATAAAGACCGTGTCATCGGAACAACATTCCTGCAGCATGTCGACTGGACCTAGCTTCGAGTGTGCGAGAGAAGATCCTGAGTAAAAGACACGTGAAACAGCTCGATCGAGACTTATAGGATCGACTCGCCGGACTACGAGACACTGCGATATCTAGTCCGACTACATCCAGCTGCCACTGCTATCGGGCGAAATTGAACGCTACGCTTTGATCTGAAACGTCGGAATGCGATCGCAACGAACGGTGATAAAGACCGTGTCATCGGAACAACATTCTTGCAACATGTCGACTGGACCTACCTTTCGAAAAGGCCTATCACGAGCGTGCGAAAGAAGATGCTGACTAAAAGGCACGTGAAACAGCTCGATCGAGACCTATAGGATCGACTCGCTACGAGACACCTATATCCCCTATCCGGAAAGCCGGGCACGGAGAGAGGTCCTAGTCCCAATCGCCTGGGATCCAGCTGCAGGCTAGCCGGCCTTATCGCAGCGCGGGTCTACCGTGTACAGGCTCTATCGTATCGATGTTAGCATCTTACCTTGCGTGCTGCCGTTGGGTTGGGCGGGTTGCGGGATCCCTGGATAAAGGGGCGATAGATGCGGCGAGGGTTGATTGCTGGCCGGTCCTGTAGAATGCGGATTGGCTGTCGTCGGTGTCGGCGTGGCGGACGGTGCTTGCTGGGATTGTTGGGATTGCTGCACCGTGCCGGCGGACGTGGGTGTTGCTGCGGGGTTGCACCCACCGGCGCCAACACCTCCGCCGGCCGGCTGTTGTTGTTGTTGTTGTTGTTGCTGCTGCTGTTGTTGCTGTTGTTGTTGCTGCTGCTGCTGCTGCTGTTGCTGCTGGTGTTGGTGCTGGTGTTGGGGCGGCTGTTGCGGCGTCGGCGGTTTTTGGCCGTCCGTCGAGTCGCCGGGTGTCTCTGAAACCGGCCAACGCGGGTCAGCTCGGGTATTAATCCACGTAGACAGATGTCCGGGACTGTTCTACTGTCGGCGGAGAGTGTCTCTACATTGTTTTGCGAGTCCCGGCCGGATAATCGGCTGGCTGGCGTGTGTCTCTCTGCCTCGGGCCGGATCCCCTATAATCCCCGGCGTTCGCCGCGGATCTTTCGAGTGGCGTTTCGTGTATCTGTTTACTTTCCGTAACTGAACTGCGAGGCCAACGAGAACCTGACGAGATACCTGCGACTCGACTCGGTTTGGCCGCACCCTCCGAACGACGCTTCTCTATCTCTCTATCTATCTTTCACTCTCGCTCACTCGCTCTCCCTCCCTCTCCCTCTCACTCTCTCTCTCTCTCTCGCTCTCTCGCTCTTTCTGTGTGTTCTGCGTGTGTTCTACCGGCGAACTATTAATCAGAGGTGTCGGAGCGCCGAGAGAACCAACCCCCGACACCCATGCCCCGTCCCTAACCGAACGCAAAACCGGTGTATGAATAATGGGTAGAAGCTGCCGAACAGTTTCGGGACTGGATACACACCGAAGTTCTTTGACGGAAGATCCGCTGCTGGGCGCCAGCTATTAATCAATGAGCTGCGTTCCACGTGCCGCCGAAAGAGGAACACTTTCGGCCCGCTTCCGTAATTGCACATTCCACGTTCTACTACCGTGTGCCCGCCACCGGCTGTCCACGAGCACCCGGCGAAATTTTTACCCAACGATGGCTCCGATAGCGCTGATTAATAAGGACCGATCTTACGCCGCGCTTAACCCTTTCGATACGAGCGCCGGATATATCCGGCATCCATCCGATGACCAATATGGACGAGTGCCGAATACATCTGGCATCCATGTAAGCCATATTTCTGTAGGCCCTTTACAGAATGTTTGCAGGAAACATTTAAAGAAAGATTCAGAAACGGATTAAGCGCAGTCATTACTTAACGCTTAAGAAAATCTTCGTACAAAAGTGGACCGATCCTGCGTCATGTGCGCATTTTCGGCGCGGCACCCCGTACAGTGGGAGTGTCACGGCGGACAACGCGCTCGTACCGAAAGGGTTGAGACCGTTTCGCGCGAGGCTGCTCGTACCCGCGACTCGCGTGCGATTAGTACCGATCGCACGCGTAATTCGATGGAAACGAATCGCTCAGACGGCTTTGATAGGATATCGCGATACTCTTTTTTCTTATCGCGTCGAACGGTCTGTGTGCAGCATACGCGTGTCGCGACGCAGGTGGCATCGCGCGAAACGGTCCCTTTTTACGCTGCGCGCGTATTTAGCGCGGGTTATTGTAGACCATTTGTTTAGTTCGCAGAAAATCCGAGGGAGATCGTATATAATGGATTGGCTCTCCCCGAGCTTGTCGTTTAGCGTTAAGAGGAAACTGGGATTTCACGGAGCGGCACGGAAAGTTCGTTCTATTCTCGGACGACGCTGCTGCTGCTGCGTCGATGATTGATTGCGGGCGTCGTTCTGCACAGCGCGTATAAAAACCTCGACGAGATCGTCCAAACTTTCCGGACCGTGCGGATTTCTCTATAGGAGCAGTTCGAGGAAGAAGCAGGAACCCATTAGAAAATGTCTCCACCAGGAAAAAGAGAGTAGCTTCCGATTCTCGCACCGTTCTTTGTATTAATGCGTGGCCGCGGCTGCGCAGATTGTTAAAAGTGTAAGTACATCGATCGTCCCGTGGACGGTAAGTATTAATACTCGGCGCAGAGTGTTCTAATCATTTTTATTAATGCTCTCGACCACCTCCAACGAAGAACAACTCCGGTTGGTTCCTCCGCATGCCTCGCCGTTAGATCGTGGATTTTATGCGATTACAGCGTGACTCGGCCGGACAAAGCCGAGCGAACGAATATCGTTCTCCAAGGTTTCGGGTTCTTCGAGGCTCGGGCGGATCCTCTCGTCGCGTCTCCGACGAGAGAAACTGCACCCTTCGGTGCCAGAATACGCATAAACATCCGCAGTACGCTTATCCGTCTCGTCGGTAACAGCGCCGGCCGCGTTATCGTCTCACGGTAAAACTATTGCGCCGTTGCAATTCGTCAATTGTTGCATTGCTAAATCGTGGCGGACAATAGTGCCAAAGGTCGAGTCGTCGGATCGAACTCTGTGTGGCTTGATCGCGCTGTAATCGCATGAACCGTCTCCGTTTTAGTAAGAATTACGTTTCCACCGCAAGCCTTCGAGAGAATAGCGAAAATCCCCGATGCATCTCGGTGTTTCATTCCATTGGAGGATCGACGACGATGCCTCGCGACGGTAGTTCTCGTCTGCAGGCACCGCGGTTCCGGAAATCAAGCTCGTGTCTGCAGGCTAATCACCGCGGAACCCAATTACATTCTTCGATGCTCAAAGCGTCGCGGCGCCCCTTTGCCCTTGCCCTTCGTTTCGGGGACCGTTGCCCCTTATTTCCTGATCAGCCGGGATGGGTCAATTCCACGCGTGCACGGAAATTTACACATCCGAGGGCCGGGAACTCGTCGAGCGAGGCCGGAAAACCCTGATGGAAGTCTGCCGACGTTGCACGCGGAACCTCTGCCGATTTTCGAAGTGCGGATACTTTAATCGGACACGTTGACTGACACAACGAACGACGGATAAAACAATGGCTCTTCGAGCAACAGACGCGAACGTAGGATTTCTCTTCTTCTCGTTAACTTGGAAGCGACTTGTGTTGCTGAACGCACCTGCGCGGCGTTTTTCCTTGTCGTGATGAATGAGAGAGATGAAAGTGTGCGAACACAAATTCGTAATATATTGCAAAATGGTTCGAAAATACTGTGCCGCTATCGTAGTTGATAACTCTAGCAGTGAGAGCTGGTAAAACGTTTGGCAGTGAACGTGTCGATTAATAAAATGTGACGATTATTTCTGTTAATTCCGAGCTGGTGTTCTTGGATTGCGGAGTGATTAAGTTGAAATTAGGTAGGTGTGGACCAACTGGTCTGCGGATATGTTTGCGTGTGTCGGTGGTGTTCGATTGGTAAAAACGGAATGAAATGTTCAGTGTTCGTTGCAACGTGTTTCGTTAAAAAGTGCTCTCTGGAATAATTGCAACTATTGCGAATGCACAAAGTCCGCGATCTGTAAGCCGCGGGTGCACGTGAAGAACGAGTTCGGTGTGGAAAACTTCTATACACAGGTGCGTGTGAGACAGAGAAACATGTACAGAAAAGTGGTTCGTTTCGATTAAAATTATCACAACGATTCTATAGTTTGAGGTATGCGAAAATCTCAAATTACCGAAATCGCGAACGGTTTCGTTCACTCCGCCACGAAGAAACGATTCCAAAGCTTCAAGCGAAAGTTTGTAGACAGCTGATTACGATCTAAATGTGTGAGTAGCCTTTCCCAAAAATAATTAGAGGACCCACCGCCGTACCATCGAACGGAAACGGAAAGAAAGTTCTAGGAAAGCGAGATTGTTTCAAGCGTCGAAAATATTTCTACATATCCCAGTTACCATTACTCCAATTACCATTCGCCGATTACCATTCCCGGCGGGACAGAAAAAGCGATTTAACCTTTCGAAATTTAAAAAAAAAAAAAGGGAATTGTCGCCGTCACTGTTATCGGATTGTACTCGCGGCCCGATTATTCTCGGAGCAAATCTCTAGCGTCGCAAATCCGGACGCCAAGCATTCCATAAATGTCCGCGTCGATTGCCAACTTCGACCTTTATTAAGTCGAGCCGCAAATAGTTCGCAATACCAAAAATGAAACGACTTCGGGTGAACGAATTAATTCGACGTCCTCTCTTTCGCTTTCTCTCTAGCCAGCTGTTTAATTAGCAGAACGTATTTTAGTTCTATAAATAATCTCGTCCGCCCTCTGCACGTTTACTCCATCTTGTAGGTGACCGACGAATCCACTCGCGAAAATAAAATGGCGGATCCGATGGATCAAATCGTCGATGTTATTTCTCGTCGTTTTAAGTGTTTTTTGAGATGATCGTATCTCGAGAGAGGAGACTTATCGTACCGATCGATATAACTGCGTCAACAGAATTATTTTTATAGCAACGACATACATTTTTTCTGTCATTCTCAAATTTTCCGAGGCAATTTATGCTATGCACCAACTAACTCATCGTTTATATTATATTTTGTAATCTAAAGGGACGTTGGCGCATTTAATTAATAAATAATAATAAATAATAAATAATAATAATATATATATATAATTAAATAATAATAAATAATAATAAATAATTAAACCAACGATCAGTCCAATAGATCAATGATAATCCAGATCCGCGGAATAAATCACAAGATTATTTTTATTATTTTTTATTTTGCTTTTATATATTATATTTATTTTTATTATATTCTATATTATTTATTATATTTCATATATTCAATTTATGTAATTATATCGTGCCAATAAAAATGATGTTTCTATCGTTTCGTAGCGTCTGAAGTCGCAAAGCCAGATGTAGCAATAAAAAAATTCGGATTTAAATTAAAATCACCATCGATTAACTCAGAGGACCACGAATTAACTCGCACCCTAAACAATTCCCTCGTTACCGGCTCCCGTCCATCGACACATTCGAGCAAATGCTTTCCCCGAGAGATTGATCAAAGCTTTCGGCAGTCGTTCGCCGAACGGAGGATCTCTAGCTTATCCGCGACTCGACTTCGCAAGGTGCTTATCGTTGGCGGGTCACAAGGTGCGGCACCATCTGATAAGGGGGCATGAAGCACTCACCGTTTTCCGGAAACGACGTGGACCTTATCACTGGCAGCAGGATCCCTTTCTGTACCAGCTCGTCCCTGCTAGCTCGTACCGAGATTTTCCTCTCGAGCGCTGCAATCGCGAGGGAAAATAGCCGCGGTTTAATCGGTAAAACGTTCCATCGGATCCTCGCATGGAATCCGAGAGAGAACGGGGTCTCGTATTATACTCACACAAGGAGGCGGCCTCGAACTTGTCCGATTTCTTTTTCCGTTTCCACTTCCACGGCTTGAAGAGTCTACCGAGGGCCGAGAACTTGCTTTTCCTCTCGAGGGGCGGTGTTCTCGCGCCCGAGCCCAAACTGTTCGTCCGTAGAGCCGCCCCATTCTGTTTCTTCGCTGTAACAGAGAAACGGAAGAACGGTTAGGATCGCGCGAACCGTCCGCCAATAAACATTGCATTATCATCGACCGATCGCGCCCGCTCGTAAAATTACCATTGCTATTTTCAACGGGAGCGCAGCTGGTAACGCGAGGGAAGCTCTCGTCGTGCACTCGAGTTATCGACTTGGGATACGATTCCCACGAAACCACCGGACACCTGCCGTACCGACGAGGGATGAAACCACCCTCGCCGGTTACCACCCTCTCGCGATCGATCAGCCCTTCCGGTGGAGCAACGCCATGCCACCGGAAATATCGTTTACCGATGTTCGCGGGCGGATTTTCACGAAGACAAGAGCTTCGTGAAAGTCGCTCGCGAAAGCGAACGCGCCGACGCGAACTCGGATAAACGAATTATTTCAAAGAAAGCCTGAAAGAGAGAGAGAATTTCGTTCGTGCAAACTTCCATTTGATATCGGGGTTACCCAAAGCTTCTCCACGGTTATCGGACGATCGGATTGTTCAGATTCCCCCGAGGACGCCGGAAAAATCAGTCGCCGCTCTGACAGCGCGTCTCTCCTCTTTTTTCCAGCCCGCGACGGTTTATAGAATTTTGCAGTCGTCGTCGGGACAAATCCCGGCGGGCCACGCAACAGAGATGAGTATGGAATATGACGTTAACACCGTGAACGATGGCGTCCATTCCGGCCGGAAGTGGAACTTATTCGCCGAGAGGTTATCCCGTCCATCCCCGGCGAAATATTCGCCGGCCGTGGAAACGGATAGAAAACGCGTATCGAGCGCGTCCGGCGAGCTTCCACGGCTCCGTTGCCGCCTCTTAACTCATTGTTAGACGGCCATGTCGATGTCACCATAAAATCAATACCCGACACCGTGGCCCCATAGATATTTAATGGCTCTCGTGTTTCGCCGTACGGATCTGCCACGGCGACTCGGAACACGACGCCAATGCCGGCGATCTATCGGCATTATCCGACTGACTAATAGCGATCTCGGGGGCCACGATTGTTCTAATCGAGGGACACGAGTCTCTCGAAATGACTCCGTCGACTTTAGCTAGTCGGAGTGATAAGCGGAATTATAATGTACGAGATATTGTGAATTGTGCAGCGGTAGCTAAGCTAATTTCATTGGCAAAATTGTAAAGCAAAATTGCGAAGATGTTAGAAGAATTTGGGAATGTCTTTTTATAATATGTACAACTGGTTAAGATTATTGAAAGAGGAGAGACATTTTTATCGGACTTACTTCTGCGATTAATTCAGATTATTTTCATTTTGCATAAAAACCCGCAGTTCGGTGATCGTTAAATTAATATATGGCAATCTCAATTTCGTGGAGACACAGAAAGAATATGTCTGTTGACGATATTTCAATTTTCCTGTTCTGGTTTCTATTAAATATTGATGATGTCTGATTTATGCGAATATGTTTTGATTAGATCGTGGTTTAATATTCATAGATTGTTCTATTAAGAAAGACGACGAGAAACAAATTCGGCGTATCAACTATAAAATTCCGCCTGCACGAAATACCGTACAAGTATAATAATAATAAATATTATTATTATATAAATATAATAAATATTTGTATAATATAAATATAATAAATATTTGTATAATAAAGTATAATAAATAGTATAATAAATATTTGTTAATATATACTTGTCCTGCGTTTGAAAAATGTGCGAAAGTAACAAATAGTCCGCGGATTTTTTTGCGAAATAAAGATTGTCTGCATCAATTGCAAGAAACAGAAACTAAACAAAAAGTGCATTCTCTTCCTAACAATTTTATTAGATTGAAAACGATACAACGAGATTTTTAAATTCTTTGAATATCTATACTATTTTAAATAACCAAAATAACCTCGATGGATGATGAATTATGTCACCCGAACGTGGCTAACCGACAAAGTGACGCTCGATGTATAAAATTATTTATTCTGGAAGGACCGTCGACTCGGTTCGCAAATAACAACGCGAGCGAGCGAGCGAGAGAGAGAGAGAGAGAGAGAGAGAGAGAGAGAGAGAGCGACCATTCAGGAAAAGAAGCTAAGTGGCTGTCAAACGGGCGGAAAAGAACGTCACACGCCCCTCGAGGTTGAATAACGCGTTTACCCTCGAGCAGATAGACGCAGCTTATGAGCGGCCCTCAAGGAACGGTTTCAGCCGCGACTCGATACAAAACCCGGCGAAAGAACGTCTCTCCGCCCGGCGTCCCGTCGACTGCAGACGTATTTTGATAAACATCGGATGCACCCCCGAGGCGAAAGAGAGGCGCATCAGCATCCGTCAGCGCCGAACGAGAGGAGATCGTGTGTGTCGTTCTTGCGAGGAGAAGAAGAAAGGCCCGACGCGGAGGGCGTTGTCGAACGGCAATTTCGGGAGGGGGGGGGGGGTGACGGCCCCAGCAGGGAATAACGGATGATAACGTGCGGTAGGGCAGTTTCGTCGGGAGCGACGATTATCGGCCTTGAGCATCCCTCCGGGACACTTTTCGAGGATCTTCCAACCCGAATTCTTGGCACGACGCTCTAGGGTGGATTTAGTCCGACTGCCGCAACTCCTAGCTGCGAAAGCTCCTTCAACGGCTAATTCGGAATGATTAACGGAGGGCTAGTACGCGCCGTTGCCCTTCGCGTTAATTGATAATGAATTTTATGACCGTTGACCTAGACCACTCCAATCGGAATGCCATTGGGGATGAACGCTACCTGACGCAGCGATTCCTCGGAGACTGACGTCGCATTCGGAACTTCGCATTCGGGTCGGCGATCTATAAATCGTGGATTGCGGATCTTGGACGTTTAGGGAAACTGACTCGAATTATTACGATTGGGGATGATAAATTAATATCTTCGGAAATCGAAGCAGACAATTTTTACGTAGAACGAGTTCCATTTATTTCATTGATTCGACGTTATTCGCTGCTTTCGAAGCGAAACAGAATCGTATTTATAATGTATTTCGAATGTTGTTCAGCATTATTCAACACGTTCTATTGGAATGCAGCAGGTTTTCGGTGGAACGAACTCGGTTTTGTATTAACAGTTGACTGAATTCGTAAGAAGCAACATACAAATGCATTAATTTGTAGGAAGAGTACTAATGACGTTGTCCTCTTCTCTTGAAATATTTTTTACAAACCTGTTCAACTTTTGTAATTTAACATATTGTACGTCGTATTCTTGCTTCGTGAAGTTTATTTATGTCGACGTATTTATGTAGCATCCGTTTGAATTCCGTAAAACACATGGTCGCCAATAATTCCATCATTAACGCGACAAATTAACCCTTGCGTGTACAATAGGGTACACATTTCTATTTTTCCAATATTAATTTTTAATAATATCGCAGAATAGAGCATCGTTCTTTCTACACTATTACGTCGATTAACATTGCGCGAAAAAAACTTAACTGATTAAAATGAACCATAAGAAAAAATTACATTTTCTCTTATATTAAATAGCAATACGTTGCCCGATGGCACGTGGAACGGTTTAACAACAAATTTTAATTTTTCAAGAATAAAAATCTGAATTTATTTCGACTTTTCTCCACTTTTATTCAAACGTGCGATCATTATTTTGACAGTAAAAAAGAAAAACAGCAGGAAATCAGTTATTACCAGACTTCGTTGTACCGAACAGCTTTCGTTCGAAACAGTATTTTCCGCGGGACGCAGTTTACAAGAGAGATTAAGATGGAAAAGAGTTAAAAATGGCACACTCTGAACGCTCGTTATTTTTACGAAGCAACATTCGGCTGCTTTTAGTGGCCCGTAAACCTAGCGTTAAACAACGAGACGCGTCTCGTTGCCGTTTCGCTAAAATCGAAACGCAGACGACCCGCGGTCCCGTCAGCGCCGATTTGCCCGCCCGTTTTTTCAGCGGCTTGACGCGATAATGGGCGGGTCACGTTAAGATGCATCGCCGTGTAGAACAATGGGAACTGCACTCTCCATCGTCGCGTTAATATTGCCATTGTCCGCGGTACCGGTAGACGATGCACATCGGTGCAACGGCTCTCGACGGGCTTTGACGCGTGTGAATAGGCCTCCCAGATACCGGAAGCTCTTTGTCGCGTCAATTATTCCGCTTCGGTATCGGACCACCGATATATATCCCTTTCCTTCCCTTTCCTCGGCGAATCTTCGTCCCGAGCATTTTCGATCGGCCACGATCCATCTTGCACGGCGAGGATCGTCTCGTACACCATTCGGCGTTCAAACAATCGCTCGCAACCCGCGAATCTGCCTTAAACGCAAGCATCGTCTTTTTATTTATCGTTGAAAAAGCTTTGCTCGGCAGATTCGCGATGCGTTTGAACCTTCTATGTACACCGTTTAACTTCATCGGTTTGTTTACGGGATCCTTTGTTCTCTCTGTTCTCTCCGACTTGTTCTTTTCCGCTGGTTTTGTTCGATTTATTTGCGTCTCTTCGGGCACGCTTTCTCTTTCTCCGTGCAGCTTCCTTTACATTTTTAGTGCTTTTCAGGCATCGCTGCGAGTCTTTCTGCTAAATGAAAATGTCGAGGAAAGAAAAGTTGTATGAATGTGTAATCAATCGATTCTGCAATGTCGGAAGACCCTCACACCTTGCTCAGAGATAATCGCGGACGATTCTAAGACAACGATGCAATGTTTAAGCAATGAGACGATTTCAAGAGTTCCATTTTACGACACGAGCGGCGATCAAGCATTTCATAATATTTGGAAGAAGAAAATGGACGAATCGTCTCTGTTTTAATTAGCATTTCTTCGTCTTTTATAATTCGTCTAAATAGGGTAGTTGAACCTGTTACTGCGGGGTCGCCAATTGCTGTGCCTTTAATTCGTTTCCGGGCATGATTGACTTTATGTGAACATATTTCTGTTGAAAAATAAAAGGAAAATAATTATGCCCGAAAACGAACCAAAGGCACAGCAATTTTTGTTTCTTGTGCGTCTTCATTCGCCTTCAATCGTGGATTGTTACAGCAGAAAAATCTTAT